TGTATCTTAAAGGCATGATACCCATAGATAGGCCCCAGAAAAGAAAACAAGGTAAAAATCAAAATGCTCACCAGCAGCTGCAATCCCAATGAAAACAGATGCAGTGTAGAAGGACCATGTGAAAGGCTGGATAAAAACGGCAATGTACATGCTAAAATGTAACAGGTCAACGCATTACAGTCAAACCACACCTGAAACAGTGCCCAGCATGCCTCTAGGAATCAGTTATACTCTTCTTTTACATTCAACCCATACAGGATGTCTTGGTCTTTAAATGTGACCTACTCAAAATTTTTAAATCAGGCATTTTACAGGTTTACAAAGGCTTGTGCCAATAGTTTAGCACATGATGAACTACAGCCCCAGAGCCCAGAAGCACTTCATTACTTCATCTGAATCCTTATTAGTCAATCTGAAAGTTACATTATTTCACAGAAAGTTCTTTTCAACCCTTACAGAGATTTTTGGATACTATATATTAATAGTAAAATGAAAGCTGATAACACATCTCCCATCAATTAGGACATGGTATCCCTGAACAAGAAGCAGAGAGCCAAATCCCTAAAATACCAATTATACCCTATTCAGTCCAAGTCTGCAAGAGATTTTTCAAAGTTTACTATATGTTGGAAAGGTACTGGAGGCATTCTAAGCAAACAAGTGAAAAAAAAACTGCACTACTCACCTGTAAAATAAACCACTGGCAAACATAGAGAGCTGAGGTCCTACAATGGCAACCACTGATGGTGTAATCAAATTTGAAGCAGAGAACACTCCATAAATAATTGCCATGCTGTACATAACACACAAAAGAGAATTAAAGAACAAAATCCCTAAACACTATTCTCAGAAAAAAAAATTTTTTTTTTTTAAATAGTATCAGACCTTGAATTCAGGGCCCCACACATGCTAGGTAAGCACTCCACCACTGAGCTACATTTCCAGCCTCCGCACCACTATTTTTTTTTTTTTTAATAGTACTGGGATTGAACCTAGGAACACTCTACCTCTGAGCTACATCTTCAGTCCCCCCAACCACACACTTTTCTTTAAATTGTGAGATAGGGCCTTGCTAAATTGCCAAGAATAGACCTTGAACTTGTGATCCTCCTGCCTCAGCCTCCTAAGCCACTGGGATTACAGCATGTTATCATCATGCCTAGTTTTTTTTTTTTTTTTGGATATAAATCCTTTTACTAAAGTACATCAATGACAACTTCATGTTTAAATATATGATTAAAGACTATGCAAGGCATTTTATTAAAATTACTAAGAATGACTTTGAGACTACTATTCTCTTTGCAGAAATACTATGCACAGATATAAAATGACTAAAAGCTGATGTAATTATGAATCTCAAGTTTGTACAGAAGCCATCATGAGCCACAATTTCTTCATTTTGAAGCTGCCCCTCTGTGTGTACAAAATCTTTTTCAATCCAATGCTCAAAACTGACAGGCTCTTTAGATGCGGTCTTTTCAATCTTCAAGGTCCACGCTAAGTAACTTTGTATTATAAGCTTTATTATATGTGAAAACATATGATGAACTCCTGGGGGAACATTCCTATGGTAGTCCAAAATGTTTCTGGATTCCCACCAATGATATTTTAAGGTGGGTGTTTTTGATCACTTGACGTAACTAAAACCACTTCAGCCCCTTCAGAGTTCAAACAGAGATCAAATTTTCTCATCTTCAAGTGTTAACCCTAAACCAGGGCCACTGGTTTCACCTGCAGTTCACACACCCTTTCTGTGCATCCTATCTCCCTGGGGCCAGGACCTGTAGTCTCCTCCAGCTCCCATCATGCCCAGTTTCAAAAAGGTTTCACTTTAAAATTTCTATTTAGCGTCTGTAGATTTGTAATAAATATTCACATTTGTCAGTGATTGCATTCTTAAACAGAATGTCATATAAAGTTTTCACTTGTACATAACACTAAAGTCCCGTCAGATGCTTTGAATCAATTTTCAGGGAATTGCTAAGTTACAGTAATTGCTAACATACAATAGGTATTGTGCAAGTACTTTACAGGAATTTTGCTTTTAATTTTAACAGCTCTTACAAAAAAAGGTATTGATCTCATTTCACAGAAAAGGAATCTGAAATACAGTGGAGTGAAATAAGTTGCCAGGAGTTCATCAGCATGGCTGGTAAGAATGGTGAGCCAGGTTCCCAATCCTGACAACCTGATTCCAGGAGTCTAGGTAGGTCAACTAGTCCACTCTACAAAGTTAGCCTACCACTTTTGGTAACTGCATAACATTTCTTTGCTACAATACCAAGCACGGAGTTGGAATGTATTTAACTCAAAATAATGGTTTCACTTGTACCTCTTCCAGATTCTATGGACCCAGGCCTACTATAATATCTTGTACAAGTGTGATTAAAACCATTTCCAGGGTCCTGATTTCATTTACTAGCCAATACTTGTAAAGCAAACTGTTTTCTGGCTTTTATGAATCAATATCAAATGTGTTCCTTCATTTTTTAATTTAGAATACGCTTGAAGACACAGAATTACCAAAAAATGTGATATTACTATTAAGCCATCTAGAAAAATGGATACTAACATTCTTTATTCTCAAATATCATATATATGGTTTAACATAGATAATAACCAAATAAGAAGAGTTTAGGATAGGGAAATGCCACAATTCAATACTTAGCTATAGAAAGATTTGAGAAACCCATATTAGTCACTCTATAATGTATGCAGACTCTGAAAAATTATGTTGTACCAATAAATATATATAATTTTTGTCAATCAAAAACGTTTTGCCAGGAGCAATGGCACACATTTGTAATCCCAACTACTCAGGAGGCTGAGGCAGGACTTCGAAGTTCAAGGCCAGTTTCACCAATTCAGCAAGACCTTATCTCAAAAAATAAAAAGGGCTGAGAATGTGGCTCCATGGTAAAGTATCCATGGGTTCAATTTCCAGTACTACAATAAAGAGAAACCTTTATATACATGCACATATGTACTACCCCCATCCCCCTGCAGCTTCAATCATAAGATACTAGTGATCTGTGAAGGTCTTTATATTTTCCCCATCTATAAAATTGGAACTGAACATCTTAAGCAAAAATCTCAAGGTGCCTAATGAACTATAGTTGCTATGAAATCGCAAAAACAGGAAGATCGAATGATTCAAAAATCACATGAAACATTTGTGATTTCATAATGGACATAATGGATAGTACTTTATTAAATGTCACACACTACACCAAGTGATTTATCTCTATCAGATAAGCAAAGAAACTGGGATTACAGAAATAACTCTAAGGTAACTAAGTAAGCAATCAGGCTGTGTGTGAAGCAGGTCTTCAAAACACTAGTCTCTCATTCCACAGGAAACCTAACTAGTCCCCTCTAATTGCATTATGTTCATCTCAATAAACTAGATAGCCAGAAGAAAAGCGCAATCATCACTGATTCAACCACAGTATTTTATTCCTAGTGATTCTGATGGAACTTACACAACTACCATTACATACAGTACAATACCTGGTATATCCACTGCCGTGAAAATCCGTGCTATTTAAGCTCCTGATGACAGTTTGCTGCGTAGAAGATAAAACTAATCAAGGAAAATGTTTTGCAATCTCCCTCCCCCTTGGAAAGTCCAATTCCACGCACTCAGAAGAAAAACTGTCAAAATTCACAATGCAAGTCCACTATGAGAGGAGGAGGAGGAGGAGGACAGCTTGAGCTGCACACTAACTAAAGGGCCGGAGGTAACCAGTGGTACCTGTGCTTAGGGTTCTATCACCTTGACCATCCCAGCATTAAGGTGGAGCTTCACGCAGGCAAGGAACAAAAAACGAGGGTCGACACCCCAAAGTCGAACTGAGAAACAAAGGGAACGTGAAGCACCCCGTGAAGGAGCAAAGTCTGGCCCGTGAAATCAAACCTAACCACGGAAGACGGGGCGGCAGGTGGGAAGAGAGAAGGGGCCCTGTGCGCGCCACGGGACACGACTGGCGTTTTGCTTTCGGGGACGCAGGGACAGGCACTGCAAGCAGGAGGCAGGCGCCGACTCACCGCCACGTTGCCACAAGTTTGAAAGGCGGTGAACATAAACATAAAGGCGACTCCTAGGATGACGATGTTGAAGAGCTTTTTGGACTCCGGGGACATTTTGGCTCCGCCCTGCCCGAGCTCGACAGCGACCCTGGGCAGTCAGCGCTCCCGGGGCGCAGCGGCGACGACCCTGGGGACGAGACGCGGCGGTGCGGAGCCGGCAGCGCCAGGAGCCGAGCGGCCGAACTGGCAGCTTGCAGTCGAGGGCCGGCACCTGGCGCAGGCTGACGCTGTGCCGGGCGGCACGGCCGTGCATTCCCGAGACGCGGCCCGAGCGGGGAGGGGGCGACGCCGGGAGCGCCACAGGCAAGGCAGCTGCAGGTAGCGGGCGCGCACAGGGGAAAGCGGCAGCCCCGGCCCCGCCCTCCAGCCGCCTGACGCCTCGCGGGTCACGAGGCCTGTCAGCTGACCGCGCCCCGGCGCCCTCTGGGAAGGGGAGTCCCGGATGCAGGGCCGAGCACGCGTACCGCGAGAGCCCCAGGCCCAGGGGTGGTGACCCAGCCTTAGGCCGTAGCGAGCTGCGGGAAGGGAGTCTGAGGCGGCGAGGACACAAAGCACTGGGAACAGGACTACCCCTCTGACAGAAGCGGGGCTGGGGCTGCGCCCAGGAGCTGCGTGGAGCTCTCGTACTGGCATGAGAAACAGGCGGGGCTGAGATAGGGCCCGCCTCTCCTTCCTCCAGCCTGAGCGCCCAGGTTCTGTCTCGCCATCTGAAAGAGCATTTCGCGGGCTTTCCAACTGCCCTAGGTTCCACTCCCCCCTCCCGCCTGCGGTGACTGCGCGGTTTTTGGCCCGCCCGCTAAGCTCTGCGCAGGCGCGCCGGGCAGGGGTGGGGCTCGCGGCGGCGACGTTACGGAGTGGGTGAGGCGAGCCAATCAGAGGATTCATTTCCGGGTGGCGCGGGCGCCATTTTGTGAGAAGGGCTATAAACGGGCGCTGGGTTCGGCCGCCGATCCAGTTGCTGTTCAGGTGCGCCCAGTTGCAGAGCTAGCACGCCCGCCAGCCCGCCCCTCTTCCCGGCCTCTCCACGCGGAAAGCAGCTGCTAGGGCGCGGCGTCGCCCCCGGACCTGAGAAGACCGCCGCCTGCCTGCAGCGCGCGGGCCCGCCCAGGCCGTTAGTCTCGGCGCCAGTTCGCGGGGCCCCGGGCTGCCTCGGAGCCATGAGCTACGGCCGCCCGCCTCCCGATGTGGAGGGCATGACCTCCCTCAAGGTGGACAACCTGACCTACCGCACCTCGCCCGACACGCTGAGGCGCGTCTTCGAGAAGTACGGGCGCGTGGGCGACGTGTACATCCCGCGGGACCGCTACACCAAGGAGTCCCGCGGCTTCGCCTTCGTGCGCTTCCACGACAAGCGCGACGCCGAGGACGCCATGGACGCCATGGACGGCGCCGTGCTGGACGGGCGCGAGCTGCGGGTGCAGATGGCGCGCTACGGCC